AGGGTTTAGGTTTTAGATTAAGTCATCATATCAATGTATTTTAGTTTTCACCTCTAGCATCTCGGAATCTGAAGTAAGTTTACTACTAAGTAAATATCTAATCCTTAAGCCATAAAGGGTTATATGGAGCTCTATATACCAAATTAAGGATGTTGAGTGTGCTATAAAATTTTAGTATTTATGAAATTACGACGGAAGTGTTACAAATAGTATTTGGAAAGGATAATGAAGCGTTACTCGCTACCAAGTCAAATGAAGAACTGGTTGTATTTACATAAGATCTGGTGCTTTCTTTAAAGTGGTTAAAATGGATATATATATGTATATATTTGTCTGCTGCCAGCTAAAAGAAATGTCAAGTGAGCATCTCTTATCCCTACGGTAGCATCTCATCAAAAAGGAAAAGATAATTCCCAGTTAAGGTTTAATTGGCTATTTTATAAGTCAAAACGCAGCAGTTATATTGAATGGTTTCTTGGCATTTTGTTTTCATAAAGAAAGGTAATTATAGATATAGACATGGGTAAATTAATTGCTCTCTATTTGGTGGGATTTATTTTGTTCTTTAAAGAAAGCAAATTTAAATACATTTGAGTCACTTATGTGAAGCAATGAACAGTGGGTCCTTGCAATTAATTTCAGCCACTAACTTTTATTGGATAATAGGATAAATATTGAAATATTTAATTAGTACTTCAGTCCTTATAATGTTAAAAAGGCTGGTTTGATAAGGTTAATGATAATAATAATTATAAAAAAAAGAAATCAAAGAGGCAACCTCCTAAAGAAAGAAATATATGGAACCTGCCGAACTTTCTTCGGAGGAAGGAAATTAACTATCTGCTACTCTAGACCTCTGGAAGCAGGAGATATTTGGGAAATTTTGGTTGAGAAAATCCGATTCTTGCTAAACCCAATGGAATTAAGAGTTCTACTATTCGACAACACAAATTGTGAAAATCTCCCTAGTGTTAAGTCCAGATTGACTTGGTTCTATCGATTGGGTCTCCGGGAACTACTATTAGCCTAAGAAGCAACAAGGTATGTGAAGCTAAACTCCTTTCGCCTTTGAGGTATCATCTGTGTTACATTATTCTTATATAAAAGTCAAATTAGTTCACTTAAAAAGCGAAAGTAAAACCTTCATATTGGTTAGTTACTTGATTAGCTGAACGACCATTAACATTAATACTATGTTATAGATCTTATAACATTATTCGATAAAATATAGCGAGGGGAGGGTATTCATAGTTTCTACTTGACACATTCGCGCAACGTGTTTCTGTGCACAGGATTGAGACCAACCCACTATAGTGAGCCTGAATATTGTGGCGTACCACCCTTGTGGCATCATTTGTAGTTGGAGTCGGTCGGAAATCTCATGTACTAGTTCCCCCTGACTTGAGCCAATAGATGGCACATATGGCCTGCGGGCAGACCCTCATAGTGAGCCCACGATGGGTGCACCTCGTACCAGACTGCGATTATAGCATATGCATAAAAACATAGAGATAAACTTTTAGGAAACTCATGGCCTATAGTTAATGTGAGTTGCCTTGATTGGCCATCACGTGAACATTTGTAATAAAAATATTTAAAGTACTCCACCTGGGAAAACTATGGGTATCATGATATATTGATCATTGCTTGAGATATTATATTATGAGTCCATTAAGTCAGCACGTTGGGTACTATTGTATATCTTATGTTTACTCCTAATATAATCTTAGTTCTCTCTATTTAATATTTGATTCATATGAGTTTTCCTATCTATCGATCTATAATTCTGTTTGCTCTTCCTGCCAGTACATGTTTCATATGTACTGACGTCCTTTATATGGGGCACTACATTTCCTTGTAAATGCAGGATCAGGTTCTCAGGGAAGAGGACATCCACGTTAGATTCTGTTGTTGACTTCAACTGATGTTTTGGTGAGCTCCATCTCTATCCAGAGCTAGCTTGTATTTAGTACTTTTGATGATATGCACAAGTTGCTAGTTGTATACGCCGAGGTGTGTCTCGGCAAGTTATTAGAAATTTGATGTTGCACATCTTTTAGAGGCTTCTTGGACATCTTAATGTATCAGGTTGTATAGTTTTGCTCAGATAACTTCATGGGTTCTATATATATACATATATATATATATATATATCATGTGTGGTTATTCCACCAGCTTATTAGTTTGCAACTTCTTACATGTCATAGCTTATTTGTAGATCAAGTATCCATACAGTTCATGTCCGCCCTCCATTTTGGGGCGTGACAAACTTGGTATCAGAGCCTAGGTTCAGTTGTCCTAGGGAGTCTATGAAGCCGTGTCCAGTTGGACCTTACTTATCAATGTGTTGCGCGCCACATTTATAAATAAGGAACTACAAGGGCATTTAGGAAATTGTTCTTATTGTAATTTAGATCGTGCAATAGAGTTGATCATAGAAACTTACTTTGATTCATGTTTTGCTTTTGTGTGATACAGATCATGTCTGCTACAGATAAGGATAATGTCGTCTAGGTGGCAACTACTGATAACCTTCCCACCACCACATAGCAGTCTCCAATGTCAATTGATCAGACTATACCTCAAGAAGGTTTGTCAAGTCCTATGATTTTAAGGCCTCATGCGCTTAGGACAGAAGAACTTGTAGGGGTTCCCGAACCTCCAACAATGCCATCAATAGTCCCTATACCGCCACCAAGTTCTTCAGATCAGGATATTAGAGGAGCGATAAAGTTTCTCACTCAGTTGGTAGCTGCTCAGGCACAGAGACAGAGTGTAGAGGTACCTAATGCTACTCAGAGAGAGGTATCCAGATCTAGGATTCAGGATTTCCTTCGTATGAATCAACCAATATTTACAGGCTCCAGCTTAACGGAGGACCCTTAACAATTTATTGACGAGACTCATAGAATCTGTAAGGTGATGTGAGTAGCAAAGACATATGCTGTTGAACTAGCTTCTTATCAGTTGAAAGATGTTGCTATTGCCTGGTATTAGATGTGGGAAGCTTCGAGGGGCCAAAATGCTCCCCTAGCGATCTGGGAAGAATTTTCAAAGGCTTTCATGAATCATTTTATGCCATTAGAGCTCAGAGAGGCAATGGTGGATGAATTTCTAAATTTAAAGCAGCGTTATCTTAGTGTCAGAGAGTATAGCTTGTGGTTTACGCAATTATCTAGGTTTGCTCTGGAGTTGGTTAATACCCAGACATCAAGGATTCATCGCTTTGAAGGTGTCCTCGCGGATCGCTTGAAAGACATTCTCTCGGTTGCTGCCCTAAATAGGGATATGGATATTAGCAGTTAGAGAAGGATCAACATAATCATGAAGTAGAGAGGGAGAGAGACCAAAGTAAGAGGGCGAGGATGGCGGGCCAGTATCAGGGAGGCGATAGAGCTTCCACCAGCAGAGGACCATCTAGGCAGACTCGGTCAACAACATGCTCCACATATAGTACTCCAGCCTGATTTTTGAGACTTCGACGTGAGCAGGGCCAGACTTCGAGGGTACCATACCTTCGACCTCAAAGAGGTACTAATCGGGGATTACCACCCCGACCTGCATGCAGACAGTGTGGCCGAGCACATGGAAGGGAGTGTCGACGTGGTTCAAATACATATTATTGGTGTGGAGTAGAAGGTCATTTGGTAAGAGATTGCCCGCAACTCAGAGATAGAAATAAGGGTGAGAGATCACAGTCTACAGGGTCAGAAGCAACCTCTTCATCATCAATACCTCCCACTTTCTGTAGTCCTCAAGCACCATCAAATAGAGGATCTGGTAGAGGCAGATGGACTAGTTTAAGTGCCAGCCCAAACCGTATGTATGGACTAGCCGGTCGACATGATTCAGAGGCATCTCCAAACGTGGTCACAGGTACCTTCTCTATTTTCTCATGGGATGTATATGCCTTGATAGACCCAGGAGCTACACTGTCATATATTACTTCATTTGTTGCTAAAGAGTTTGAAATACAGCCAGAGTTTTTATGTGAACTATTTGTAGTATCGACTCCAATATGAGAATCTATCATAGCTAGGCGGGTCTATCATGAATGTGTAATGATAATATGTGGCCGAGATACGTGAGCCAATCTGATTGAGATAGAAATGATTGACTTTGATGGTATCATGGCCATTAGATTAGTTGTCCTCTTGTTATGCCACTGTTGATTCCCGAGATAAGGTTGCCCAATTTCATTTTCCAGGAGAGTCATTCCTAGAGTGGAAGGGTAATGCTATGATGCCCAGAGGAGAGTTTATTTATTTTCTTAAGGCACACAATCTTACTGCAAAGGGGTGTTTACATCACCTAGTTCGAGTAAGAGACCTTGAGGCTGAGAAACATATGTCGACTCTTCAGTCCGTACCAGTGGTGATTCCTGATGTGTTTCCTGAGGAACTTCCAGGATTACCCCCCCCCCCCATTAGAGAAATTGACTTTGGTATTGACGTGGATCCTGATACTCGGCCAATATCATTTCCACCTTATAGAATGGCACCTGCAGAGTTAAAGGAATTAAAAGAATAGTTGAAAGACTTGCTTGATAAGGGCGTAATAAAGATGGTACATTGCGAATGTGTATAGATTATAGGCAGCTGAATAAAGTGACAATAAAGAATAAGTATCCTCTCCCTTGAATAAATGATTTGTTTGATCAGTTACAAGGAGCTAGATGTTTTTCAAAAATTGATTTAAGGTCCGGTTATCACCAGCTGAGGATTCATGATGTAGACATTCCCAAGTCAGCTTTTCGAACAAGCTATGGGCACTTTGAGTTCTGTGTTATGTCATTTGGGCTGACGAATGCCCTAGTAGCCTTCATGGATATGAAGAATAGAATTTTCAAGCCCTTTCTTGATATGTACGTGATTGTATTTATAGATGATATCTTGGTGTATTGATGGGATGAAATAGAGCATGCAAATCATTTGAGGTCAGTGCTACAGACACTCAGAGAACATCAATTATATGCTAAATTTTCTAAGTGCAAATTTTGAATGAGTTCAGTAGCTTTTTCAGGCCATGTGGTTTCCGGAGAAGGCATTAGGGTGGAGTTTCAGAAGATAGAAGTTGTGAAGAATTGGCCCCGACCTACCACTCCTACTGAGGTACGAATTTTTTTGGGGTTAGCCATCTATTATAGGAGATTTGTGGAGGGTTTTTCCTCTATTTCTGCTCCATTGACTAAAATGAAGCAGAAAACGGCTAGGTTCCAATGGTCAGACATTTGTGAAAGAAACTTTCAGGAGTTAAAAGATAGATTGACGACATCGCCAGTACTAGCACTACCAGAAGGCACAGAAGGATATGTGGTGTATTGTGATGCTTCAGGTGTGGGCTTAGGTTGTATCCTGATTCATCATTAGGTTTTATCCTGATGCAACATGGGAAGGTTATAGCATATGCCTCTCGGCAGTTGAAGAAGCACAAATAGAATTATCCCACTCATGACTTAGAACTTGCAGTTGTGGTATTTGCACTTAAAATATGGTGACACTACTTGTATGGAGTACATGTTGATATTTTTACTGATCATAAGAGCCTTCAATAATTATTTAAGCAGAAAGATTTTATCCTTAGGCAGAGGAGGTGGCTAGAATTGTTGAAGGACTACGACATTGATATTCTCTACCATCCAGGTAAAGGTAACATTGTAGCAGATGCTCTCAGGCGATTATCTATGGATAGCTTGGCATATTTGTCAGCTACTCAGCGTGAAGTGGCCAGAGATGTCCATAAATTAGCCAACCTAGGTGTTCGACTTATGGATTCTGAGGATGGGAGCATTGTGGTATTGAATACGGTTGAGTCTTCATTGGTGGCATTGGTAAAAGAGAGGCAATATTCTGATCCCATATTGCTTAAGTATAAAGAGGGAATTTGGAAGCATCCGGTTACACCATTTGAGCTAGCTGGTGATGGCACCTTGCGATGCAGAGGTAGATTATGTGTTCCTGATGTTGATGGGCTGAGACAAAAAATTATGGATGAGGCACATTGCTCCTGTTATTCAGTTCATCCTGGTTCTACGAAGATGTATCATGACCTGAAAGAGGTATACTGGTGGAATGATATGAAGAAAGATATTGTGGAGTATGTAGCAAAATGGTCCAACTGCCAGCAAGTAAAAGCAGAGCACCAAAGACCCGGAGGCCTAGCTCAGACCATAAGTATTTCGGTATGGAAATGGGAAGCCATTTATATGGACTTCGTCACAAGTTTGCCTTCCTCTTTTCATAAACATGTCTCTATATGGGTAATAATTGATTGACTGACAAAATCAGCCCACATTTTACCTAGTAAGTCCACCAGCACAGGTGAAGACTCTGTCAAGTTATATATAAGACAGATTGTACGCCTGTACGGGACCCCGTGTCCATTATTTTAGATAGAGGTGCCCAATTTACAGCTCATTTTTGGAGATCATTTCAAATAAGCTTGGCCACATAGGTGAATCTTAGCACTGCATTTCATCTACAAACAGACGGTCTAGCCAAGCGCACTATTCAAACTCTCGAAGACATGTTGAGAGCATGTGTGCTAGACTTTAAAGGCAATTAGGATGATCATTTTCCCCTAATAGAATTTGCCTATAATAACAGTCATCAAACAAGTATTGGTATGGCTCCATTTGAAGCTCTATATGGGAGGCGATGCACATCCCCTATTGGTTGGTTTGAAGTAGGCGAGGCACAAATACTAGGACAAGATCTAGTAAACCAAGTCGTTAAGAAGGTTAAGTTAATACAAGAGCGGTTAAAGACTGCACAGAGTCGACAAAAGTCATATACGGATGTGCGGTGTAGGGATCTAGAGTTTCAGATTGGTGATTTTGTATTTTTGAACGTGTCACCTATGAGAGGTGTTCTGCGATTTGGAAAGAAAGGTAAGTTGAGTCCTAGGTATATTGGGCCTTATAAAATTATACGCAGAATTGGCCAGGTAGCTTATGAGGTAGAGTTACCTCATGAGTTAGCTATAGTGCACCCAGTCTTCCATGTGTCTATGCTACGCAAATGTTTAGGAGAACCTTACCATGTCATCCAAACAGAAGCTATTGAACCTACACAAGACCTATCATTTGAGGAAGTCCCGGTGGCTATACTAGACCGACAAGTTAGGAAGTTAAGGAGTAGAGACATAGCTTCAGTCAAAGTACTTTGGAGGAACCAGAACATAGAAGAGGCTTCCTCGGAAGCAGAAAAGGACATGCAAGCTAAATATACATACCTATTCCAAGGGCAACCAGAAGATTCTTACACTATGTGTCTCTTTCATATACTTATTGACCTATGCAATATTTACCATTGTATTCTGATTTCGCATGATATGTTTAGGTACGTGATATATGTTTATGATATCAGTCTTTCATGGAAGTGGCTTCTAGATGTAAAGTATAAGGTAAACTTCAATATTTGTGTTACCTTTGTGCGAGTATAATGCCAAGTCGAGCCTTGTTTATGACCATTGATTATTGTAATTTTCGTGACGCTCTGTGAATATTATGTATATGTACTTTGGCTAACTGACAGCTTCCTCATAGTACTAATTACAAAGGAAACTCTGTCAAAATATTTTTTGGAAATTCTAAAAGTTAGCCAAATTTCAAGGCCTTATGTTGGATAAAATAAGGTGGAGATTAAGTAGGTGATCTTACGAGTGTCCTGGATAGTTATAAATTCTATTAAGCTACAAGTGACATTCGAGGGCGAATGATCCTAAGTGGGGGAGAATATAGCATCTTGGAATCTGAAGTAAGTTTACTACTAAGTAAATATCTAACCCTAAAGCCAAAAAGGGTTATATGGAGCTCTATATACCAAATTAAGGATGTTGAGTGTGCTATAAAATTTTGGTATTTACGAAATTACGTCGGAAGTGTTACAAATAATATTTGGAAAGGATAATGAAGCGTTACTCGCTACCAAGTCAAATGAAGAACCGGTTGTATTTACATAACATCTTGTGCTTTTGTTAAAATGGTTAAATGGATATATATATATATATATATGTATATATTTGTCTGCTGCCAGCTAAAGAAATGTCAAGTGAGCATTTCTTATCCTTAAGGTAGCATCTTATCAAAAAAGAAAATATAATTCCCAATTAAGGTTTAATTGGCTATTTTATAAGTCAAAACGCATCAGTTATATTGAATGGTTTCTTAGCACTTTGTTTTCATTAAGAAAGATTATTATAAATATAGACATGGGTAAATTAATTGCTCTCTATTTGGTTCTTTCAAAAATGCAAATTTAAATACCTTTGAGTCACTTATGTGAAGCAATGGACAGTGGGTCCTTGCAATTAATTTCAGCCACTAACCTTTATTGGGTAATAGGATAAATATTGATATATTTAATTAGTACTTCAACCCTTATCATGTTAAAAAGGCTGGTTTGATAAGGTTAATAATAATAAAATAAAAAAAAATCAAAGAGGCAACCTCCTAAAGAAAGAAATATATGGAACCTGATGAACTTTATTCGGAGGAAGGAAATTAACTATTTTTTACTCTAGACCTTACGAAGCACGAGAAATTTGGGAGATTTTGTTGAGAAAATCTGATTCTTGCCAAACCCAAAAGAATTAAGAGTTCTAGTATTCAACAACAAAAATTGTGAAAATCTCCCTAGTGTTAAGTCCAGATTGACTTGGTTCAGTCGATTTGGTCTCCGGGAACTACCATTAGCCTAAGAAGCAACAAGGTATGTGAAGCTAAACTCCTTTTGCCTTTGAGGCATCATCTGTGTCACGTGATTCTTATATAAAGGTCAAATTAGTTCACTTAAAACACGAAAGTAAAACCTTCATATTGGTTACTTACTTGATTAGCTGAACGACCGTTCGCATAAATTCTATGTTATAGATCTTATAACATTATTCGATAAAAGATAGTGAGGGGCGGGTATTCATAGTTTCTACTTGACAGATTCGCGCAATGATTATGTGCACATGATTGAAACCAAACCACTATAGTGAGCTTGAATATTGTGGCGTACCGCCCTTGTGGCATCATTTGTATTTGGAGTCGGCCGGAAATCTCATATACTAGTTCCCCCTGATTCAAGCCAATACATGGCACATATGGCCTGCGGGCAGACCCTCATAGTGAGCCCACGATGGGTGCACCTCGTACCAGACCGTGATTGTAACATATCCATACAAACATTGCGATTAACTTTTAGGAAACTCATGGCATATAGTTCATGTGAGTTGCCTTGATCTGCCATCACGTGAACATTTGTAATAAAAATATTTAAAGTACTCCACCTGGGAAAACTATGGGTATCATGATATATTTATCATTGCTTGAGATATTATATTATGAGTCAATTAAGTCAGCGCGTAGGGTACTGTTGTATATCTTATGTTTACTCCTAATATACTCTTAGTTCTATCTATTTAATATCTGATTCATATGAGCTTTCCTATCTATCGATCTATAATTCTGTTTTCTCTTCCTGCCAGTACATGTTTCATATGTACTGACGACCCTGTTTATGGGGTGCTACATTTCCTTGTAAATGCAGGATCAGGTTCTCAAGGGAAGCGGACATCCACGTTAGGTTCTCCTGTTGACTTCAGTTGATGTTTTCGTGAGCTCCATCTCTATCCGGAGCCAGCTTGTATCTAGTACTTTTGATGATATGCACAAATTTCTAGTTGTATACGCCGAGGTCTGTCTCGGCAAGTTATTAGCAATTTGATGTTGCACATCTTTTAGAGGCTTCTTGGGCATCTTAATGTATCAGGTTGTATAGTTTTGCTCAGATAATTTTGTGGGTTATATATATATATATATCATGTGTGGTTATTCCACCCGATTATTAGTTTTCAACTTCATACATATCATAGCTTATTTGTAGATCAAGTATCCATACAGTTCATGTCTGCCCCCCCTTTCGGGGCGTGCCATCACTCTCACTACAATTGACATCAGACTATTAGATAGCATCAACTAAATCTCTCTTGTTTAATCATTTTCTCATTCATTACCTCCTTGGTCTAGCAAGTAGGAACGAGGCAAGTTCTAACGTGTCCACCCGTTAAAAAGACTTCTAAATGAAAGAATTAGCAATACATGCATAAACAATATTCCATAATTACTTAATTTTTATTCATACTTTGCTAATTGCTCTTGGTTCCCACAACCCTAGTTGTAGATTAGCTTCTAATGTTTGATAGTTCAAAATTAAAAATTAAGGGTTCAAGGGGAGTACCACATCTCTATTGGCTTGAGACATCAGGGCTTGAGCCAACACTTGGAATGCCGACCTAAACTCCACATTTGTTACATTCTCATTCAATGGGTCAATCGGAGCTTGAGGAGGAGCTTCGGGAGAACCTGGAGATGAAACTCTTTATCAACATTGTCTCCCTCCATCCTGCGAGCATTATCCCTTCTAGTAGTCATATCCTGAAAACCGTCAGGTATGGATTACGAGAAAGACTTATAAAGTTAAACTTCATAGTTGGACTTGGCCATTTAGTTTCCTAAACATCTAATAGTCTCTCATTCATAAATGTGGTGCGCTTCACACTTATGAACAAGACTCTACTAGACGTGGTTTGAGATATCCTAGAACCATTCTCAACCTTCTGCTCTGATACCAAGTTTGTCACGACCCAGGGGTATCCCCTAGATGTATCAAGGAGCATAAGACACTTAAAGCCCTCATACATGCCACTTAGCATATCATAACATAAAGAAATATAAATGAGCGAGAATTTAAAACTTTTCAATACAATCAATGTCTTTTATAAAATGAGCGGAAGTCTAACATAATTGTCTCAAACCATCTAACATAATAGAATAGATATTTTCGGACGCAGCCCATACAATACTAAAAGTCATAAAATAAAAGTATAAAAGAAAGTGGTGATCACATCCTCGAAAACAATGAGGAATCACCAAAACATCACTTCTTTGATCAACAACAAAGCTAGCCACGAGTGTGAGAATCAATGTCGCCAGATCCTACATTTGATAAGAATGTACAGAAGAGTATGTGTTAGTACAATCAAGTACTACATATGATGGCTAACATAAACAACGTAATCCTAAGCATTAGTCAACATAGGGCATAAGGTATAAATAAAATCAAGTCATAATAAGCATCATAATTAAAGAGGAATACTTCGTTAAGTAACCTCACTTACCCTTAGCCAAGACATAGGTCATCCGCCTCCAGTCAAGCGTACATCATGGAAAGCATATCTAGCAACACTCCAAGCAAATCAACTTCATAACATAATAATATTACTCAT